AATTTTTACCAACTTCATTGCAGTTTCTGTTCTGGAGAAATAGCTGTTTTGTTTTGTTCATTATGTCCTTTTCAAACTGATTCCTGAATGGGAGGGTCTGAGTTCATTATAATTAGCTGGTGGGCTTCCAGTGTTGTAATAGAGAAAGTTGCAGTGCCAGCATACCTTTTTAGTAGTAATTAACCCGTAGAGAGTATCTCGCTAAGAATAAAATTCCTAGGAATGCCATAAAATTAACTTGTATCTTAGTGCAGACTTCTGGGAAAATCAATCACAGAAGTCAGCCAGAAGATGGAAGTGACATTTCTGGGGGCGTTCCATACATCAACGCCTTCAGGTCACCATATGGCATTACATTTTTTTTGATAGATTTATAACATTACAGCAGCAACAGTTTTAAATGGAAAGGTGACTTTTAATAAAATTACATTACAAAATGACTTTCACAACAATTATATATGCTATATTAATTATTTTAAAGATTTTTTTTTTCCATTCTTAGCTTTATTAAAGTGGAGTTACCCTTTACCTCTCAGGTTGTTACACTGCTTTATATTAATCCCTTCGTAGCTAATTCGCCCTCTTTACATGTGGTTTATCAAAAAACATTCCAGAAATGGATGCAATTTTAATTTTAGCATTTAACTAAACGGTTATAGGGAGTGTATAAGGCAGAAATATGGTAGTAGCTACTCCTGACTTTTGAAGGTGCATTTTCTAAGGTTGTCGTACATATCCTTTGTTTGCTACTTGCCCAATCTCTGACTTGGAACAAGTGATATACACATTCTTTTTGTCCTGGTCAGCGAATTATCAAGAAGTAAAGGAGGCATGAAGAGGGCAGCCACAAAGACTACACCTTCAAAATCAAGACGGCAACCCTCCTTAACCCTGATCTATTAATATTGTTTTAATAATCATGTTGGGTGTTAAAAAAATGTATGCAACAGTCTCTCAGAATGGTGGAAAGGAGGGACAAAAAGGCCCTTGCCCTGGAATGCATGAATACATATTCCAAGTCGTAGCATCTCTTTTCTTTCTGAACAGAATTCTAAATGCTATTTTTGCTTCTTTGTACAGCTATCTGTTCTCTGCGTCAACTGATAAAACAGTAGCAATTTGGGACTGTGAAACTGGTGAGAGAGTGAAGAGGCTAAAGGGACACACATCATTTGTAAATTCCTGTTATCCTGCCAGGAGAGGTCCACAGCTCATCTGTACAGGCAGCGATGATGGGACAGTAAAGGTGAGTGCATCTGCACTTTCTCATTTTGTTGTGTGGCCCCCTGTAAACTATTTTAGATAGTAGTCTTGACGCTATTTCATTCTCTGCTGAAGCATAAGTTGCTTTTACACATCTATCTGTGCTTTGAACATGTAGTGTACACATTGGCACCTATTTAACAGCTCGAAGTCTAACCCTGCATCATACACAAGTCTTTCAGCACCAGTTGCCCCAAACATATCTTGCTTTCTGGAAATGTGCAAACATAACACTCTGTTAACATGCAAACCTCAAGTACACTTTGATGTGTATAGTCATCTATATTGTAAAATGGCCATTTAAAGCTTCAATTGCATTCTACCAAACACAAACTTGTACATGTAGACCTTCAAATATTTATTTAACTACCTGCTGTCCGGCCGTTGTAATTAAACGGCCGGACAGCGGCTTCTTGAGGGCGGGTAGGCGTCTTTAGATGTCCTATCCCGTTCCGCTCGTGCCCGCCGCTAGGGGCACGATCGGGGAACCGGCTTTGAATGTAAACAGCCAGCGATGGCTGTTTACATACAAGCGTTCAGGCGTCTGTAGAGACACCCGATCGCTTGTATTATCAGGTCGGATGTGCAGGACCCCCCTCTGTCGCCGCAGCTGTCGGCGATCGCGGGCTCCGCTGTTCCTGGGACCAGCACAGCAGCATTGCAGCCGGAGATCAAACGGAGCTCAGTACACAAGCTCCGTTTGATCTCCTCTTCTGAATGCAGTCAGTGATGTGTATTACATCACTTCCTGCATTCAGTGTCGCTCTCCGGTACAGAAACCGGAGAGAAGCTGGTGAAGCAGGTCTCTGCTTCATCAGCTTTTCTGGGGGTCCCTAGGTGACATTAGGGGTCTTAAGAGCCCTGATGTCTCCATAAAGAGGACCTGTCACTGCAAATTGGCTATCACATAGGGAGCTTGCTTGCTCACTATGTGATAGCAATAAAGTTCAGTGGGAAAAAAAAAGGTTTAAAAAAACTTTGTTACAAAAAAAAAATTAATCACATATCAAAGCAATAAAAAAATTAAAGGCCCGCACACGCAAACATGCGTCAAGCCCGCCTATTTGCGAAAACGCTTACTTTTTTTATTATACAGTAAAAATAAAACCCCCAGTGGTGATTAAATACCACCATAAGAAAGCTCTATCTGTCCCCAAAAAAGGGTATAAAATTCATTTCAGTATAGTGTTGCACGACGGAATAAACGTCAGTCAAAGTACTGCAGCGCTGAACACTGAAAAATGGCCTGGCCAGGAAGGGGGTGTGAACACCGCGGTCAGCAAGTGGGTTAAAGTGCTGTATTTTGCCCTTCGTAAAAAGTGAAACGGTTAGAACGCCTGTTGTATGTTAATTGCTGGCTGTTTCCCCTTTGGAAAATCTGTACTGAAAGAAACATAGGTGCTCCTGTTACTAACTTCCTTCTCCTTTACAGGGGTTCTAAACCCTCCAGTGTTTTTGCCTATATCTACTGATAGCAAGCAGTAGATATAGGCAAGAAGTTTAAAAAAAAAAAAAACCCCCGCTTTAACTATAGCTATCGCTGTGCGCTCCCGCGCCGAGAATCGGGAAATGCTCGTACGGCCGCAAAGGATCTTGGGGCATGCGCAGTTCGCATTCTCGGTCGGGAGACGAGCAGAGACGCAAGGTAAGTCTATGGACGCGTGCACCCGCATGCAGACACCGCTGGATCTGAGGGACAGAGCAGTCAGCGCTGAATCGGAGAACCGACGCACCTCGGAGGGACAGATGAAAACATCAGGAAAGATCGGAATAAGATAAATCATTTAGGGTAAGTGCTAACATTAACATGGGGGGAGGGCAAATTTTTTTTGACTTTAATGTCACTTTAAGTGGTGTGTCCCAATGGTACTGCCTGGGAGTGCTGGTATGGAGGTGGAGCAGGACCCGAACGGTGGCGGTCTCGCCAGCAAGTGATAGAAGCCAGGACGTCAGATCGGCCGGGTGATGAAAGGACGCCGGCTGCGTCCCACGTGTATCGGGAGAGTGACCGCGAAGATAGCTTGTGCTTAGACCCTGCGCCTCGGGTGAGCCCTTGTCACCTGCCAGGGGTTGTTGCCTTAACAGTAGGGGTCCACTTTCATTCAGAGTGTACAGTCTGTTAATTGTGCACAAAGAACAACTGGCTCAACTTATTTGCCACTTTAAGGAATACTAGTTGCCTGTCTGTCCGTTTTTTTAGTATGTTGTCTGTCCTTGAACAAGCAAGTCACAATGAAGTCAAAACTCCTGATCTTCATACTTGTTCCAAGCCATAGTAACTATCATTTTTAAAAGGAGAGGTCTGAAATGGCAACTTCCATATTCTCTCCATGCAAGTTTTCCTTTTAATAAAGGCTTGCATGAACCTAATTTGGGTAAGACTGGATACTGGACAAAGATAGCCAATCTAATGTTCTGTAATCGGGTATGGCAAATAGAAGTCTTAAGGTAAACCTACAAAGCTGGGAACGTACGGCCTGAATGTTTTTCAGTAGAAAATTACATGATTAAGTTTAGGATGGAAAAAAGTATAAATGATTTGCTGATATCTCCTAATTGTCAAGGTTTGTTTTCTATATCGCAGCTTTGGGACTTCAGGAAAAAGGCAGCCGTGCAGACTTTCCAAAACACATATCAAGTATTAGCGGTTACCTTCAATGACACCAGTGACCAGATTATCTCAGGAGGCATAGATAATGACATAAAGGTAAGAACCATTGTATATTGTCACAACCTTTTCTGTATAGGTTAGTCAAATCTTTTTGATCTCCAGCATAAATAAAGCATTTTTCATGTACTTAAAGGATTTATGTTATGATTTATTACACTCCGCTGGTTCATTTCACAGGAGAGGCAAGGACTTTGTAAAGTCTGAAGTCTTTTCTGAGGTAAGAATAATTTGTTAGGAGAGATTCTGCTGCAAAAACCTATTTAATTGCCATCTCAGTAGCTGATTTTAGTTGAGGGTTAATGCTTCACGTATCTGTTCTTTCCCTTAAAGTGGCCCTAAACTCAGGAGTTCAATCTTAAAATTGCATTCAAGTGCCTCAAAAATTAACAAAAATGTATCTTATTTGTGTACACTCGGCTGTAGATCCTCAAGTCATCTCTGAATTGGTGCCGACACTGTCCTTCCTTCTGGAGGGGGGCTGCTTTGGTTCCCCATGGTTCCTGTGTGTGTTCTAAAGTAGCCACCCCTTCATGCTTGCTCCTGTGATGGACTACAATCTCATGTTTAGTTTACTAATTTGTATTGAGATTGCAGTCCATAACCGGAGTGAGCTTGGAGCGGTGACTACTTTACAACACACACAGGGACCATAGGGAAGAAAAGTAGCCACCTTCTGGAAAGATGGACAGTGTCAGCATGAATTCAGAGATGATTTGAGGATTTACAGCCAAGTAATACACACATAAGATACATTTTTGTTAATAGTTGGGGTATTTGAATGCAATTTTAAGATTTAACTCCTGAGTTTAGTTGTCACGTTAATGATCCGAGGGATATAATTTCTTACAACCCTCACTGTTGTAAGATAAGTACTAACTTAAAGCCAATTTCCACCTTTTGCGGAGGTATTTTTAAAAGAACATATGGCAGCAATGTATCGGAGTGTACATGAAGCAGGCATATCTAGTTGCTATATATGAACACAGAAACTTACTTTTTTTTAGTCCTCTTCATCTCCTCCTTTTTAGCTTCTTTTGAAATGGCCGCCTCTGTGCTTTGCAAGTAGCGTAAAAGTTCTCTCCCCTATTCATCAGTATTCATAATGATGACCCCCCCTGGACAGTGTATTGTGATCTGAAAAGGCAGAGCTGGTGTGCAGTGATCTTGTTACAAAGACGCACAGGGAGGGGGTCAGTTGCTTTACAATCCGACCCCAGTGTCAGACTGCGTTTCCAGTGAAGAAAAGTTTCAATTTGTAGGACTCTGGCCTTCTAAAGTCCATAAAATTAAGAAAGCCAGCAATGCAAGTCATGAATGTGTGCACACACATACATCATCACTGCACTTCTACATTACCACAATAAATGCTAATAGCTTACAGAGGTGGAAATGGCCTATAATTTGTGATTTTGAATTCTTTTTTTTTTTTTTTTTCTGTTTTTTGCTAGGTTTGGGATCTAAGACAGAACAAGCTGATGTACACAATGAGAGGTCACAGTGATTCCGTGACAGGCCTCAGTCTTAGTTCTGAAGGTTCATACTTGCTCTCCAATGCAATGGATAATACAGGTATTCCAAAATTAAGAATATGAGAACATGTGCAGGTCTTGAACAGATATTGGGTAATAATAAACAGTATCATTTGGATTTTACCAGTGAGCCGATGCATCTATAGGGAGCGATGTAATAAGCAAGCCTATTGCATTCCAGCTTGGTTAGGTCTATACAGGAACATGCCACAGGAAAGGACAAATATAAGACTCGTATTGCAGATTAGTATAGAATCTACCACAGCACCATTTGAAACCTCCTTAGGCAGCTTACTCCATAAGCTACAAGCCACATTTTGCTTCAAAAGCTGAAACTTTTACTATGTTTGGAAGAATAACAAAAAACTCTTCTATGCTACAAAAAGGTATGAAAGGCTAGTGATGGATGCATTTATCAAACTTCATCTTTTCAAGCAGGGAAAAGGATTTATTTGGAAGCAATGAGGAGGTTTGGTCACATTTTCTCACCAATCTAAGTATTGCCAGCATTTTAGTGTATGCCTAGCTGTAAAAATCTCTCTAATGATTTAGGCAGCATAGCTAAAATAGATTTTCCTAGGCAACTGCTATGGGACCTCAAAAATGCTTATGCTGTGAAATTGATTTTGGGGAAACATTCTTTTTTTCAATAAAGTGTATATGCCAGGGCAAAATAGAAACAAATGCAGTAAATCTCTGCAATGCATTTCCCCTTGTCTTATTCGTTTTAAAGAGTATAAAAAAAAAAAAAAAAATACCTGTTGATCCTGGTAAAAAAGCACTTGGATATTTCCTGTTGTGGGCTGAGAATACAGTGTCTTTTAGAATTCGCTAGAAGTGGGGCCAGTCCTGCCCGCTTGTCTTTTTCTTGTTTGTTTTATGTTTATTTAAAATAAAATGTGAAAAGGAAATGTAGAGACAACCCTGGCCAGTTGTCTTTTGCTACAGAATACCTCCCCTTGAAACAACATTGGGGGGGACGTAGTAGAATGAGAGAGAGAATTAGGAGGGCTGATTAGATTTTGAGGTAACACAGCAAAGCTCTGGGTAAAATGGAATATATATATATATA